CCCCGGTGCTGGACACGGCCCTCATGTTCCCCCACCCCCGCGGGCCGCCCTTCAAGAGCGCCCTGCGCGTCCTGGCGCAGCGCCACCTGAAGCGCTGCATCCAGGACGGCCAGCACGACAGCGTCGTGGACGCGCGCGCCGCAATGGACCTCGCTCTCCTCAAAATACGGCACGGTGCGGCGGATGCCCACACCTGCGCCCGCACGTTTGCCTCTACGCGTGCACTCGCTGAATGTGCGGTGGAAACTGGAGGCAGCAGCGCCAGGGGCGTGTGCCGGCTTGCCAGGCATGGGTGGCGGCCGCGCGCGGCCGCCCCGCCCAGGCCCGTCAGACGCCGGCCGGCCCGCCTCACGCGCCGCCACACCCCCCCTCCCCGCGCATGCGCTTGCAGGCCCGTCCTACGCGACCCCCGAGGGCGTGGCAGCCGACAAGCTGGTGGACGTTCTGGCCGCCAGCGGCCGCCGCGCCCGCAGCTGCCTGGTCGACAGGCAGGACGCCCTGGCGCGCCACGCGACGGGCGCCGCTGACGCCGTCCTCGCGACCAGCGACGCGCAGGCCGCGGCGCTCGCCGCGCGCCACGCGGCGTCGGGGCGCTTCGGCTTCGTGTGGTGCCAGCTGCGGGAGCTGGACCACTTCTACTTCGGACGCTCGAAGCACGCGCGGCGCGCGCAGCAGCTGCAGCAGCGCCGCGCGCTGCGTGAGGGGGGCGCTGGGGCCGGCGGCGGCGAGGGGGCCGCGGCGGCGGCGGAAGAGGAGGAGGCGGAGCTGCGGAGAGAGGCGGCGGAGGTCGAGGCCGAGGCGGCGCAGTTCTCCCCCGCCGCGCTGCGGCAGCAGCTGCAGCGGCTGGACGGCGCGGTGGGCGCCCTGCTGGCGGGCCTGCCGCCCAACGCGCTGCTGGTGGTGGCGACGGGGCAGGGGGACATGGCCGAGTGCCGGCGGCAGCAGGAGATCAAGATCCGGCGGCAGCAGCGGCTGGACGGGCTGCCCCCGTGGAGCGCGGCGGACGAGCGGGCGCACGGGGACGCCCTGGAGCGGGAGATGACGGGGCTCTGCTTCTGCGCGGTGAAGGGGGCGGCTG